TTAAAGCGTAGCACTAAGAAGCTAGCTGCAGCCGTGTCAGCAGAAGTTCAGTCCCAGGCCAGGGGGGTGACCCACATGGCTCAGCAGACCTCTCCTGTCTCACTCACTGTTCCCCTTAGCAGTGTACTTTGTCAGTCTGCCTCTTCTGCTCCCCACTCTGTTCATGATGAAGCCTCTCACCCCCAGTGCCTCCGGCCTGTACCACAGTTCTATATGCATAAATAAATCAATCTTAAAAGAAAAAAGAATGGATTTAAGGATAAAGAAAAATTATTTGCATTTTCAGTGCAGGTGAACACTGTTTACTTATAAGAGGAAGAAAAAACCTCATCTTTTTTTAAAAATCAGAAGGCAATAGAACAGCATATATTGATAAATTTTTTTCATATATAAAGGCAGTAACCTAAGTAGTTAGGTGTAAGCACCCATGGACTCTTTGTGAAATAACTTATTTGAATTATGATTCTTTATCATAAAAAGTCAATCCAAACAATGCCAGAAATGAGAAAAATGTACATGAGAGATCATGGTTTGTAGTGAATCAACAAAACTTAGGATGAATACCATCATAGTTATTGTATTTCTGAAGCAGTGGAAAATAATAAGAAAATACATAATCTTGAATCAGAAATTTAAGTGGTTAAAATAGACTAGAAAACATGCATGTAAACACCATTGAGAAAGCAAAATATGTTATATTTTGCATGATACAAATTGGTGAAGGTACGTGTTGTTTTGAGGCAGTGAGGATAGATGTTAATAATTTTTTATGACTTAACGCTTATCTGTGTTATACTTTAGCTCCTCTCCTGCCCTTGAAATATGAAGACAAGCTAAAACTATTTTTTAAAAAAAGAAGACACTAGGAGTTGTTCCACATTATTGGTTCCTTTTTTAGTAAACTAAGAATGACACATGAGTATGTCCTAGAATGTTGGTGCTGGCCAGCCTTGTTATTTAGATGGCTAAAGAATACAGGAAAGTGTAAGTGAATGTTTACAGAACTGGTGGTCATAAATGACGGCCATGGGAGAAAGCCAAATTTGTTTGCTGTTTTGAGCCTTATGAGCTAACTAGTGTAATGAGGCTCTCTGACTAATGGTGGGAGTGGCCAACTGCAGGAAATGTGGACGCTTAGGAAATTTTGGATGCCACCTACAGCATATTTTTGTTGTTGTTTATTTCACTTGAGGTCGTTTTCTAGGAAAGCCACCATCTGGTCTTGGTCCTGTGGAACTGGCTGCCGTCATTGCTGGGCCAGTCTGCTTCGTCTGCATCTCCCTAATGTTGATGGTCTATATCTGCCATAACCGTACTGTCATTCACCATCGCGTGCCCAACGAAGAGGATCCTTCACTAGATCGTCCTTTTATTTCAGAGGGCACTACGTTAAAAGATTTAATTTATGACATGACAACATCAGGGTCTGGGTCAGGTAATGTAATTGTTCTTCCTTTTTCTTACACAGTCTTTTTAAAATTAACTATGCTAATGGGGGGAGGGGAAGTGCACTGGACTATGGTGATGGCTCATGAGTGATTTGGTAATGGGAAGCCCACGGGGATTACAATTGAAATGGAAAAAGACACAAAATGATGTAAAAATAAACTACAGTATAACAACAACAAAAAAAACTATATTGTTTACTAGTTGGCTAAGCCCGATGACTTAGTTTGTTAAAACTTTGGGATAGAGTGAACACTAAACCAGCTTCCAGCCTGATACAGGTCTTTAGGCTTGTTCTATATCTCAGTGTGGCTAGTTTAGTTTAGACAGATTAGAATTTACTTTTAAAGTATTCTCACCTATATAATCTCATTTGCTTCTCATGACACTCTGAGGTGAAAGAATATGGACCATGATTCTCATATAGGTGAGGCTAAAATTCAGAAATGTCCCAGTGATTTCCATGTTCATTCTGTTAAGAATTGTTTAGCAGCTTTATTTTTGTATTTGAAAGCAGGCATGACAAAAAGTGTATTTATCATTGTGAATATATGCAGCTGCTGTCTTTAGCTCAGTGTTAGCTTTTAGAAAAATGTCTAACAACCTTGTTATTTAATATATCTTTTTTTGGATCATGACCTCTGTGAGGCTTGCTTTTCTCTGTTCTGTTTATTGATTTTTGTGGGGTCAAAAATAGACAAATTGCCAGAAGCATCCCCCTAAAGTGGATTTTGGTATAGCAATGTTTTCATGTTTAAACCAAAGGGATTTAACTTTTCATTTGTTTTTGCGTGTGCTTTTGAGGGATACAGAGAGGGAAAGACCCTTGTCCTCTACAATATTGCAGTTTGATACTCAGCTAAGAATTAAGGGATCTAGATTCTAGTGCAAGCTTTGTTACTGATGGCTCCCTGACTTTGGTTAACCACCCTTCTTCTTTGGGCTTCTATTTCCTCATGAGAAATATGGAGCAGGGCCTTCCTTAGAGACACAACGGGTTAAAAGCACAGCACTCTGAAGCTATCACAGCCACTGCAGCACAAATTCAATCCCTGGCCAGGGAGGTGACCCACATGGCATGGCAGGCTTCTCCTGCTTTGCTCAGCAGTGTATTTCAGCCAGTTTGCCTGTTCTGCTCCCCACTCTGTCTCTGGTAAATCCTATCTCCCCCCCTGCGCCTCTGGCCTGTATCCCAGTTATGTATGTATAGGTAAATAAATTAAAAAAGAAAGAAAGAAAGAAAGAAATATGGAATGGATACTCTTGGTGGTGATAAAGTTACTAGTTTTAAATGAGATACACTATTTGAGGTATAAATGAATTTTACATAAGAGCCATATGGTAAAATGTCGATTTTCCCTCATTTTATGATCAGTTGACTAAAGGAACATTAAAGTAGAAGTTTTAATTGGGGCAGGGGGATTAGCACAAAGCACATATCATGATATAGGAAGCTCATATGACATGACCATTTTAAGGAGATGACTCCTTAAATCTGCTCATTCATTTAAGTATGAAGAAACAATGACCTGGAATCATCTTTTTATAGAATTTGGCTATATATATTCAGTGAGTTGTGTCCCTGACTCCCTGGGCACATACAGACTTGCACTAGAACCTCGATTTCTTAGCAGCCATCAGGGACCCCCTTAGGCTGTTGGTAGAAGGGGTATAAAGAGGGTTAAGTTGAAATGGAGCAATCTGAGAACTGAATGTGAGAATCTTTGAACAAGAGTGATGTAGGGGTTGAGATACATTATTTTAGGGTTTCTTTGGCGTTTTCCATTGATATTGAGTTATTCCAGTAATCTCAAAGATGTGGCTCATTCTAGAAGTCATGCTGGATACCCTCACTCCATCATGCCCTCCCCCAAAAAATCTATAAGAAGAACCAAAATCACAGAAAAACTGGCTAGTTTCAGATTATTTGGAATTAACCCCTTGAATGTGTTTTCTTATTGCTAAACTTAACCCTAAGGGAAATTAAAGCAGTTCCTACCTCTTGGCACAATGACATGTGTCAGTGCTCAAGGGAAACATGCCTGCTTGAGGGATTGAAAAAATTTCTGTGTGGATGGCACTTGGTTTCTGAATAACAATTCATTTATTTTTACCTTTCAAGATGTAGACATGAAGTAAAGAATGAGATTATTTTTCTATTTTATAT